CACAAACCCTACAGGAAACACTGAACTGAGGAGCATCGCATCCCAGTATAGAGGTTTTTCATGCAACATTATGTGGACTTTACACAAGAGCTGTCCGCCATGTAGGATGTGATACAACTACTAGTTACAAGGGGAAATGTGTATCTGATTGGAGAGTGGTTCCTGAAGGTCACCAGTTGTCACTGGAGTGTCTGTACCAAAAATCTCCTTATGATTTATATATGATAGCAACCACTTGACTATTACTGTTTGCAGACAAACAGATGTCTTCCATTCATATGAAGGTTGCTGGGGCAGCTTTACTTTGGATGGAAGACATGTATTTGTCTGCAAACACTAATAGGCAACCAGCGTGTTCCAGTGACTGTACCAGTCTGCTAGCAACCCAAAGCAGTTGCAGAGAGGTGTTTGCCTCACCGACAGTGGTTGCCAGATGGTTGTGGATCAGTCTGTAGGCCTGCATGACTCTGGGACTTTGTGCACTCACCCTACATTGTCACCATGATTGTCACTTATCCAAAATGGCGGGCAAGTTAATGACACAGTTAGCGGTCACATGACTCCTCAGTGAGATAAATAAGCAACTTCTGTAGACACAGATGATAAAATATGGAACTTGAAATTAATATAAGAAGTCCCTTTTATTAGTTATTGCCTGGAGATTCTTAATGTCTCAGGTTCTGCTGTTTTAACATGAAATCTTAGGTAAACAGTGGTGTCACCAACTGCATTAATGAAGGTCCAGCTTTATTTAGGTGCAGAACGTTAATTAGTATGGTTAACACCTTTGTTTAATGTCAAATGGATGTTATGAAATATTTCTTTAGCCTGGCACAAAGTTCTTCTTAAAATGACAATTCTCATTTTTCCAACTCTGCATCCAGGCTTCAGCTGTTGGCTACACACTACACAAATATGAGAAAGGTTTAAACCTTCTCATGTCACCATTGGCCAGAAGGCAAATGGATCAAACCAACAAGTCACTTACAAAGTCTACGACACAATGGCTTTCTGAAAAAACGCCCATCCTACCACGTCAGCCTGTAAATGGTGCAGTGCAGCTTCATTTCCAGTGCAGAGCTTGTATTAATTTGAGTTGAAGACAGACTCATCAGCACAAAGGTGCAGGTGGTCTGCCGAGTCATGATGCAAGGTGCTAACAGCCTTAGCCTTCCACACAACAACTTTCTCACTGTGCTCATCTAAAAACAGTGAAACCCAGTGTGCTTCTGATTGAGGGTGTGCCTTGTGCTGGTACATTTACTGCATTTTAACATAACCTCTCGATCACCTCTCTGCATGCTAAAGCTGGAGAGTAGCACAAGCACACGCCATTAGCTTGGTGCTGTTATCCAACGAGCCTCAAGCTGCGTGTGCCCGGATTTCATGTGTCAGTGGAAAACATGACTGCTATACCACACTTAAAGTGGAAGCACCTCCTCCGTCAGTGGGACTGTTTCTGATACTCCAGCAGTCGTTTTACTCTATCAGCATGTCTTTACAGTCCGACTGCTGCCTGATTTATGAGGTTCAGCATTCAAGGGAGCTCAGTCAACACTGCATGGAAATGACCACATGTTTTATTTCTATCTTGATTTAGATGAGGAATCTGCCTGCGTGTTATTAATGTGTTTTTGTCATTATATTGCTGTATATAACAACAATTCATAGTACTATATTTTAACAAATTAACATGAGCTAGACCCACGCATCATTTAACAATAATTGTGTGGCCAAAGCTTCTTGTATGCACAGAGACAAAAAGAGCATAAAAGAACAAAAAGACATGGACGATCATCACAAAGAGGCTCATACAAACTATTCAAGCCTATACGACTATGGAGACACAAAATGAGCACAAAGGATCAATAAAACTGCACAAAGACTCAAAACCAACGCAAACTAATACAAATGAAGCTGACAAGCCATGAAGACCATAAATATTCAAGATGGAAATTTTTCTAAAACATTTTTAGAGGGAGCAGAAATCAAAGCTTCTTAAGATTTTTTTAACACCTAGAGAAACCTTTCCCTGTCAAACAGCTTCTTTGGAGTTTACTTTGACAACAGAGGCTAGTTTAATTTCCATGTTCTTAGCTGTTTTTATGAAGCAATGCTTTTTAAAAACAAATCTGTTAAGGGAACAAGCAGCTTCTTATTTCGCATTAGCTAGCAAGCTAATTGTGCTAACCTCAGTTCTCCAGGTAAACTGACAAAACAAGATTGCATCTGTCTGAGTTTTTGATGTTTCCAGTTAATTTATTTATAAAAGAAGTGCATAAAGTAAAAGAGTTACATCCTTAAAATTATGCTAAAAGATTGAAACTAGCTCTCTGTCACCAGGAAAAATGTCTCCCTTTCTCGAGCCATGAAGAATTAGCTTACATTTCAATGTAAAAAAATAAAAATAAAATCATAAGACCTTCACAGACCTGACACATAAAATTTGTATAAATATTTTGTGCATTACATTTTTTTCTGCCGACTCACCTGTTCTTTATCAGCCATTTACACTGAACGCATAACTTTGAAGGACCAATTTACAGTATTTATTTTATCAGCAATAAACAGATCTGACCAATCAGACCACTGCATTTGGAAACAAGTGCACTCTGAGTTGAAAATGGTCACCAGTACTGAATATGCAATAATCTAAGATACCTCACAC